CCCTCATAGTGGTTGACATTTCAGCTAGTGAATGTGAAAAATTCAAACACTAAAGCACTTTTATTTTGATATAAAGCAGAGAAGCTCTTCTGATAAATACTGCCCACTAATAGAACATTAAAGAAAGAAAATGTATGCACATTGCCCACTGTTGACAGGACCCTACAGTTCATAAGGCTCTCTATAATTAAAAACACAGTCTTAGCACAGTGGTCAGCATGTTCATAACTACTTTCCCATTTGACTTTGCCACCCAGATCCCCCTCTCTGAGATTAAGGTACTCAAGTCCCTGATGATGAGAATGTTAGCAGCTTACATCTCTCAGTTGTAAGTATATCCTGGAATTTCCCTGAGCTGGGAACCACCCTCAGTAGAACCACCCTTTCTCCTCAAGGAGAGAGCCACCTTGCTCCTTGAGAGGTAGGAAGGGAGTTGAGGCCCATTTCTAATAGCTAGGCAATAAGGTGTGTTCACCATGCCTGAATTAGGAACAACTCTGAGTAGCTGTACCAGCTCCAAGGTTCCCCATGTGACTAGAAGAAATTTCTGTGACAACTGTATTGTGGTTCAACTTCTCTCTCTGCTGAGACCTGCTTCCTTTATTCTCCCAAGAGCTATTCCCACAAATGCTCTCCAGTGAAACTCCTAGATTCAAATATTACAGTCTCAGACTCTCTTTTCCAGGCAACCTGACCTAGGACAAAACCCAAACCAGAGGCCTTGGCTGAAGTCATGTAGGAGATATTAATGTCTCAATCCTGTAGTTTCAGCAGGCCTTAGAATAGCCAGCAATGCATCAAAAACAAGGAGAAAATGGGTGCCTATACTCCCAGGTACTCAGGAGGCTGAGGCAGGAAGATCATGTGAGCCCAGGAGTTTGAGAACAGCCTGGGCAATACAGTGAGACCTTGTTTCAAGAAAAACAAACACCAAAGAGTTACACAGCTCTAATCCTCTATAGACAAATGATGTAATGAAAAGGTAGCATGTGGAAGAGATAGAAGTGCAGGTTTCCAACTTGAGAAGGAGTTTTATCTCTAGTTCTTGTGTGACCTCTCTGAGCTTTGCTTCCTTTTCTAGGCATCTAATAAAGATCACTGAAATGCCCAGTCTGTGCTACAGATACACACAGCCAAGAGGCTAAGCATTATACAACCAGCACAGGGGAAGTTAAGAGCAGTTCAAGAGAGAACCCTGGGAAAAAATGGCTAAATCTCCAGCAAAGATCTTTTGTCTCTTTTTTCAGGCATTCCTTTTGTTTTTCCAGTGTTTTGGGATTTTAATATATAAATTATAAAATATATAAACAAAGTATGCGTATCATAAGAGGATTTTAAAAAGCTTAACCCTACTACATCTCACCCACCTAACTTAAGAAATAAAAGAACACTGCCTAGAAAGGTTCAGGTTCTTTATCAGGAATGATAATATCCAAGCTGATAATATCAACCTCCAGAGCCCTTGGCACTAACCAGGTGATCAGTAAAGAATAGCTACAGTTATTAGAAATGGGTAGAAATATCAGCCCAGATATGATTATTAAACTAAACACATCTTAGTTATAACTCGGAAGTCACAATTTTTTTTTTTTTTATACGAAAGGTCATTATTGGCAGGGGGAGGGAGGCTGCAGAGCAGCACCAAGGAGGAGAGAAAAGGAGAAGAGAAAATGGGGCGAGAGATGAGGAGAAAATGGAGAAGAGAGGGGTGGGGGGAGAAGGGCAGAAGTCACAATTAAGAGACCTCTCTATGAAGTCATACCCCTATAAATCAAGGGGATGGTTTAAATTATTTCCAGACATAGTCCATTAAAAGAAACTAAGGATTTTCTTTCCTATAAGATTACATATACTTATACCTGAGTCTGTGGAGTTCAGCTCCTGATTCTTCAGGCCTTCATGCACGGTCCTTGAAGATGGTACTCTGGGTCAAGAACATAGCGAAATAGTAAGATAATTCTTAAGATTGGTAAAGTGTTAAGGGTTAATTTCCTTCAAATCTAAGAAGAAAGCAAATGTAACAGGCCTCAAAATCTACAACAGAAGATACTCCTTTGATAATACTTTTATTGCTTTTTAAAGAGACAACCTGTTCTGTCACCCAGTCTGGAGTGTAGTAGCATGATCATAGCTCACTGTAGTCACAATCAGACTCCTGGACTAAAGTGATCCTTCTGCCTTAGCCTCCAAAATTCCTCGGATTATAGATGTGAGCCATCACATCTGGCTGATCATATTAAAAAAAAAAAAAACAAACTCCAAAACAGCAATTGCTTTTAAAACTATGTACAGGGTCAAACGACCCAATGGATAGCCTGTAAACAGCATTGTGATGCATGTTCAAACAAATTTTCTTTTCATTCATATGAGCAAGAAATTACAAAACTTCTGGTGGGATTCTTAAACTGTAAATAATTAAATGATTCATTTTTTAATAGTCACAAAACAGAAACATTTCTTTTATAGGCTCTGTTTTCTTCATTCATCAGTTTCAAAATTAAAGACAAATTATGTTATAAAAAACACAGATATTTACTCTGTATGCAGCAATCACTGTAAAATGCTAATACAGGTAGACATGGTGACGTGCACTTGTAGTTCCAGCTGCTTCGGAGGCTGAGGCAGAAGGATCATCTTAGTCCAGTAGCTTGAGACTGCAGTGAGCTAGGAATTATGCCACTGCATTCTAGCTAGGGCAATAGAATAAGACCTTCTCTCTCTTTCTTTTTTTTTTTTTGAGACAGTTTCAAGCTGTCTCTCTGGGTACAGTGCAGTGGCATCACAGCTCACAACAACCTCAAACTCTTAGGCTTAAGTGATTGTCTTGCCTCAGCCTCCCAAGTAACTGGGAGTACAGGTCCCCCGCCAGACCACCCGGCTATTTTTTTTATTGCCATTGTCAGTGTCATTTTAGCTGGCCCAGGGCTAGGTTTGAACCTGCCAGCCTCAGTGTATGTGGCCAATGCTCTACTGGCACTGCTAAGACCCTCTCTCTTTAAAAAAAAAAAAAAAAAAAGCCAATAAAAGGCTAATTCATCTTTTTAGAATATTTCCTGACTAAAGCTTTGAATCAGTTTTGACAACTAAGTCAGGGAAAAAACACAAGGCCATTTTTTTTTTGGATTATTTGTTTTTGTCATTGTTATCTTACCTCTACCTAGTATAAAATTCTATGGGCTTTTTCTCTACCTTTTTATTTTTTCAGAGATGAGATGTTATTCTGTCACCCAGGCTAGAGTATAGTGGCACAATCACTCAAAGCTCACTGCAACTTCAAAATTCCAGGCCCAAGAAATCTTCCTGCCTCAGCCTTCCAAATAACTAGGGCTACAGGTGCATGCCACCAGGCCTAGTTACTTTTTTATTTTTTGTAGAATTGAGGTCTTATTTTGTTGCCTAGGCTAATCTTGAACTCCTAGACTCAAGTGGATCTCTTCCCACCCCAGCCTCCCAAACTGCTGGGATTCAGGTGTGAGCCACCATACCGCTCGGTCCACTTACATTGTCAGTTTTATTACCCACATAGCTATAAAGGTAGTTGAAAATAATACAGTAGGGAGTTACAGAATTTGTTATATGTGAAACTGTGTCCTTGTCCCCAAATTTACTTGCTGAACCCATAACCCTCAACGTAACTATATTTGGAGACAGGGCTTTTGGGAGGTCATTAAGATTAAATGAGGTCATAAAGGTAGGGCCCTAGTTTAGTGGGGTTGGTAGCCTTATAAGAAGGTAGTGGGGTGGCATCTGTGGCTCAGTGGGTAGGGCACCGGCCCCATATACCTAGGGTGGCGGGTTCAAACCTGGCCCCAGCCAAACTGCAACAACATCAACAATAACAACAACAAAATAGCCAGGCATTATGG